TTAAAACTTTTTTTTTAAGTAGGTAGACACATACTTAAAATTTCATACTAACTCTAAAGTTACTTTTTATCTAATATTTATATTATTCTAAAATTAAATAAAATACATTTTTTCTGGCTTTTTTCTCTTTTACCTTTTAAGAAATAAAACCGAAACAGTATTAGAAAAAAGAGTAATATATTTTTCGGTCCTCAGCAAATTTTACGATACCCGCTTTAGTCCCTAGCAAATAAAAAAGTTATTCCTGTTCCCTAAGAAATTTAAAGTGGACCCATTTTAATCCTTTTAAGAGACTAATGTGGGTCTTTTTTGAATTTGTGAGAGATCACAATTTCAATTAAATTGGTCCATTTTAAATTTCTTAGAGATTGCGAATAACTTTTTTATTTGTTACAGACTAAAGTGAGTATTCTGAAATTTGATGAGTACTAAAAAAAATATTTACTCTAAAATAAAATAAAATACAAGTATCAAAAAAACTTGTATCTTATGTCATAAACTCTTTAATAATTATGCCGTCATTTTTTTTAAAGGTGAGCTTGATGTGACTTAGCATAAGATATATTATCTTCTATTACGTGAAAGTAGATAAGTGCAAACATATTAACTTGGATACTAACTCCTTTGACACTGCCCAAACTTACAATGCTGTAACCCCAAAAAAAAAAAAATGCAATAGAATAACCGAATAATTTATACTTTTATGTTTTAAATAACTAATCAAACTTTGATTTTGTTTATTTTTTATAAAAGTTTTTATTTAATAAACTTCAGGCCCATTTATCTTTTCAATAATTTTATCTTTTATTTGAACAACTTATTTTAAAGCTATTTGCTCCAAAATATGGGTGAAACTAAGTCGGGCCGGCCTACAGGGGCCTACGACTCGGCCTAGATATCAATTAGTGTAACACTCTCCCTTGTATGCACCCAAGAGAGTCGTTTGCTAATCGTTATTAGAGTTGCGGAATTTTGTTAAGAAACTTTTTCTTAAAATACTTTTGAGGAAACATAATGAAAAGTTGAATCAAAGGAAGATTTTGATGGAAGGGACTTAAAATGTGTTGCTGTTTTAAAACAGTGAAAATTTAAGAAAACCGTATACGTTTAAAAATAGATATAAAATCGAGCTTTCAAAATATTTTTGTACAGTTAACGAAATCTGATAGTAGGCGTTTGGGGCTTCGCGTGCATATAAAATAATAGAGAATCGGACGTCATTTACCCCCTGAAACTTAATTCGCAAAGTGTACGTAAAATTGTTTATAATTCAGCCTTAATAAAACGTTCAAAAATATTCCTTTCGCAAAACTTTTTCAGATTTTGTCAAAGTAGCCGCTGTTCATGAGAGTTCTAAAACATTAAATAATTCACAGTCATACAGTCATCCAAAGTTCACCAAGTAGCATATAATACAGTCATCCGAGGAATGAAGCAGTCAATAGCAAATAATCCAAACAACAGCAGAATAACAGTAAATTCCAAACATCCATGCCCTCAAATGCTCTTTCGTCCTCCTGCAATTTATAAAAATTGCAGCTCCAAAGGGGTGAGAATAATCCCAGTTGTGTGGCAAGAAAACCAATAATGCAACAATATTAAACTAGGCACAAAATTATAAATAGTCGCTTCAGACATTAAATCCTTTTCATCATATATCCTTTTCATCATATATCATTTCCATCATATATCATATTGCGTATATAACGCCTTCTTCATGCTCATAGCACCGTTGTGCGCGTGCATATACAGTGGAAATTCCATGCACGACACCATCATTTGGGGAATTCCACTGTGGCCTATGCGGACTGACGCCAACTGTCCCAGTACCCCGATATCAAGGGATGCCTATATGATGCGTGCTCATACACATGATCCTGTATATAACTATTCTACATTTCAAAGCCTACATGAATCTATTGTATACATGCATGAAAGATACTGATTTATGCTACTTGTTATTTATTGTTAAAAATAAGCTCAAAGTTAAAATAATTAAATTAATATAACGGCAGAAAATTCGCTTAGTATATGGACCTGGAAACCGATTATGAACCAAAGAGTTAGGAGAATGGGTAAGCTAGGTAATGTATAGGAAATATTTGTGATAAATTCCGACTTGGTACATATCTTTGTTAGGTGCTAATCTCTAAAAGAGTGGGCTGATTGGTGATGTTTGGATTATAAATGTTAAAGACTTGAGGTATGTGTTAGGCGGTATTACCTAATGTGACTATTAGCTAGTGTATGAAATTGTGATGTGTTGCTCACATATGTTCAATGTTATTTTATGATGATGATATGGCAATGGTAAGAATATGAAACGATGAGGTCATATATGACCTATTATATTTCGTAAAATAGGTCGGGTTTGAACCTTAAAAAAACTTGTTTAATAAAAAAGCTGTAGGTCCACTTTCACAAGGCATCCTATAAATCTGCAGGCCGACCTATATTGTACTATTTATTTTAAATAAAATAAAATAGAGAAAGTATGCCTTGAATAAAAAATAAAAGATATAAATTTAATCAATTGCAATTATTTATAACTTAATTATATTTGATTATATTTTAATAGAAATCTTACTTTATTTCTTATATAGGAGGAACCAGCATCTCAACAAGTTAGATTGTCTATATGAATATATTAAAAGATTTTTGGGAGAGGTTATACTTACTACAAGCATCATGATGTGTTTGTTGGATTCATGTAGTTATTTTAATTTACATAGTATGGACTGTTTGTTGGATCTGATGAAATATATGTTATTTAGTTTGAGCATTTTGTTTTTGAAAATGATTTAAATGCATATTATATGAATTTTGTTTGGACATTGAAAATTATGATTTTTGGTTTAGCAATAGAATTTGAGTACGTTGTAAAGTTGATTCATGGTTCTGCTTGAAAGTTAATAATTAACAGGTTAACGGGCTAGGCCAGACCATTTATTTTTTTATAAACGGGCAAACCAGGCTAACAGTTAGACTCGTGCTAGGCTTGAGCTAAGTAAAATTGAAATTTTTTGGATGTAGGCTTGGGCTTTTCGGGTGAAAGCTTGGCCTAACCCACTTTCACCCCTACTCCTAAACAACTATTTCAGGTCAAAATAAAAAACAATTACATATTTTTGACAAAAGCATAAAAAACAGTCATTGTGCTGGTTGTTAAAGAATCACAGGTGTTATCAAATGATAACGAGTCAGTTGTTGTAGGGGAATTAACTATTGAGTATGTTGGATGAGAATATGTATTTGATTCTTTTTATTAATATTTTTTAAAATGTTTTAAAATCTTAATTTTAGATTTGCTCCGAACAAAATTGACTCCCATATAGAATGTGAGTGGATTCTCTTATATGTAAAAGTAATTAACTGATCATGTTATTTAATCACAATTATTTATTTAAAAAATTTACATCTTTTTTTCTCTTATCTCATCATCAATAAATGGTTATGAATAATATGACTATTTTTTTACATGAGAGGATACATCAATGATGCACGGACACAGACACGGGACACGACACGCCGACACGTTAATTCTAAAAAATGTCATATTTTGACACGTTGGGACACGTTTTGATATTAAATAAATTTTTTAATATATAATATAATTTATATTTAATATATATAAGAGTCCATAATAAGTCATATAACAAATCAAATATTTAAATTTCATAACATAAATAAAAATAAAAATAATTTTTCGTACTTTGTTAAATTTTCATGTCAAATTTCATAACAGACAAAAGTTAATTTATAAATTATTTCTTTTATATTTAATTAACAAAATAAAATTAAGATTAAAAAAAAAACGTGTCCGAACATATCCGTGCGTTGATCGCGTATCAAAAAAATGTGTCAAAGAGTTGACCGCATGTTGAAACGTGTCCATGTCAGACAAGTGTCCGACACAATTTTTTTTTTCAAACGCCGTGTGTCCGTGCTTCGAAGGGATACATTCTCATTTCTCCATATAAGATACATGTAATTTATAATAAATGAAAAAACACCGGTGTTTAAAGTACCGAGATTGCGCCGCATTTACACCGCTTTGGTTTTGGTATCGGTTACTTAAGTTTATAAATTAGCCATCGCCCCCAGAAAAAGCGCACGTGGTTACATGCTGGTTCGCGCGCGTGGAATTGCCATAAGCACCTAACGGACCCAAATGCAGTGTCCACAAAAACCCCAAGTTTTATATTATTTGAGTTCCACTTTCAAACATGCAACACAGACAGCCATGAGCTCGGAAATATTTAATACGTTACAAGATTACTCAATGACATGGTGTTCTTTTTTACAACACTAATTTTTTCTTTTTCTTTTTATTTCTGCTATTTTTTTCAATGTTACCCTTCCATTTACACTAAGGAACCATTTAAAAAATGATGGTCTCAGATCACAATAAATTCTTTCCCTGAGCCCACACTCATGGGGGCGTTTGGTATAAGGTTTTTTCAGGATTTTCGGATAACTGAATTTTTTTAAATTTTAAATTTGTGAATATTATCGTAAACTGAATGTAAAAATAATATTTTTGAAAATTAAATTTTCCGAACAAAATTTTTTTTCTCCTCTACCAAACACCCTCTCAAGGTGAGTGAGTTCCACTTGCTTCTCCTTTTTTATTCTCTGATTAACGGTTTCTTAATTCGCTTAAGTAATTTGCAAAAAAGTAATTCTGGTTCATTCTTAAGCAACGAATAATAATTTTCTTATTTTATTTTAACATTATTTTGGAGAAATCAAAGTTAGGTTTTTAACAGCTCAGATCCTCGTCAACTTCCATCTTCTCTGACTTTTCCTGCTAAAGGATTTTGTTACGGTACTATCTATATCTTAAATCAAATGGGTTTTATTTTATTTTTTATTTTAATCGTTTGAAACATTTATGACGATATTATGCATAGTGTTGGGCTTTTTTTTAGTCTCTTTAAGTAGCCTTGTTGTCTTTTATATGATGACAACATTATTTATCTTTTATTTTCTAACTCCTAATTGGGAATACTCACTCAACTTTGTGTTCAATTAATTGTAGTCTATTATTGCACGCTAACGCTAACGCCCTTTCTTCTTCTTCTTCTTATCTTGTTATTTCAGACTTTTGGGTCATCGTTGAGCTTGTTGTTTGTAGGTAAAGAAATTCCATCACTTTTCCTTTCATTACCTCTATTGAATCTGACCCGTTTTCTCCATCTGATACATTTCTAAATTCTAAACCCTTATTCTGCTATAGAGGGTGACTTGTATTTGGTTTATTTATTTGCAGCAGTGAGGTGTTTAATCTGAAAAAATAAAATAAAAAAATTCACCAATTCATGGCGGAACTGATAGGGCCTCGCTTGTACAGCTGCTGTAATTGTAGAAACCATGTTTCACGCCATGATGATATAATTTCTAAGGCTTTTCAGGTAAAACATCTTTTTCTTCTCTCTCTTTCTTTGTTTTATTTTTCTGGGTGATTATGGGGACTGGAGTTTTTGATGAGAATGTTACTGATTCTTATATATTATGTGTAAATGATGTGAATTTTTCTTTGCTGGATGATGGTTTGTCATCAGTGCCAATAACACTATCACTTGAAAAAAAAATTCTCCATCTGCAACTGCATATTCCCCTTTCTGACTTTTGTTTATTTTCACTTTCCACCTCCATATCCTCCTCCTCCGGTTTATTGAGAAGGTAAGGTGGTAGCGGAATTTGATGGTTTGTGGGTGCCATTACTATTAAAATGTTTTATTACGAGGAAAGGTAAAGTGCAGAAATTCTAAAGGTGATTTCAGGAGAGGAAAAAAAAAATGGGATTCATGTTCTGTTAATGAGGTGAAGCACTGGAAATCTATGATTGAATCAGTAATGTGACTAGACTCACTAGAGCCCATTTCTAAAGCCAAAAATGTACATTTCTTAATACCGTTATGGACTACAATGAATTCAGGCCATATGTTCAAATTTGAAAAGGAATTAAGTTGCTTTTTTCATTTCAATCTTAGGCTTAAATTTGGATAGTTCCTTATTCTTTTTCTTTAACAGTAGGAAACGATAATTTATTCCATACTATGTATGAATGCTGATCGATTTCTTATATATTGTGGGTCTAAGTTTAATTTAATGATTACATGCTTGGTAGAATGAATGAAACACTCTACTTCTAGTGAGTAATGAGTTTTATAGATACCAGATAGTTTGTGGTGGAAGTAGTAGAGTGAGACTGATGGTGGTAGTGGCAAGTTAGGTTGTGCATGCTGAGGACATGCTTACTATCAATTGTTTGCCTGAACAGAAAGTGACAGTCGCTATAGATTTCTGTTGGCAGTGTCTGTCATTGATTTTTGATTTATGGTTATCATCATAGTGAGGATGCTTTTTGTTGAAAACTGCATTTCAAATGTTCTGGGAAGACAATGGCAATGTTGAAGAGATGGGTTATGTCGAGGAATGTAGTGATTAAGATTTTCTACCTATCTTATTTTCAATTTTAGATAATGATTTTATTGACATAAAAGCCAAATATGACAAAGATTGCCAGTATGTTTTGTTTTGCTTTCTCGTTATTGCATGCTTCTTAGATGAAATCCTTCCCAAGGGATCTTTGTTTTGTCATTTGGGCTGCACATATTCTCCATCTAAAGAGTTTTGGTTGTTTTTCTTGGTTTTTAAACTTGCATTTCACTTCTATGATTTTATCTCTTACTTTAAGCTTTCCCTGATTTCTGATATTCTTTTCATGATTTTTATAATTAGGGGAGAAACAGCCGAGCTTTTCTGTTTTCCCATGCAATGAATATTGTCACAGGGCCAAAAGAAGACAGGCGTCTCATGACTGGCCTCCACACAGTTGCTGATGTTTATTGTGGTGATTGCCGTGAAGTGTTGGGTTGGAAGTATGAAAGAGCTTATGAAGCATCCCAGAAGTACAAGGAAGGAAAATTCATACTTGAAAAGTCAAAAATTGTTAAGGAGAACTGGTAGCATTCTCTTATGCTCCCAAATCCATTCATTCCAGTCTTGATGTGGGTTCATTCATGCTTTGTGATCTTCATCTTGTACAGGAAGTTCTTACTTTTACCCATTTGAAATTTGTCATTGTTTCTCCAACTTCATTATATTCCCTTGTGTTGTGACTAGAAATGAAATTGTAAGATAAGCTGTTTGTTCCTTGTTAATAAAATTGTGTATTCATTTTCTGGTCTATGAATATCAAGGTTGGAATCTTTGATGAACAATATCTGGTCCAAACTATACCATTTTACAAATTTCTGTATTGGAAGGTGAACTTTGCTGCCATGAAAATTTTTGCTTCAGCTACCTTTCTTACCCTAAGGGCTGTGCCTTTATATATGAAGTAGTAGATGTATGTTGCAACCGTCTTATGATGAGATTTAATATTTGGAATCAACATAAGTTGGCAGAGCTTCAATATTTGGCGTTTTGGATGGACCCTTTCCCTTTATGGATGGTATACTTTTGAAGTTCTGCTTCTCTTTGTCAACAAATGTAAGCTGCTCCTACACAGCATACAATGTAGCCGAAGCCTTGAATGTGTGGTCTTCTTTTCCATTTTCCTTTATCTTATGCATGCTTCTGTTCTCCTAACCATTTTTGGTTCCAATTTCAATGACAGTAACTTTTGAGATTCAGGTAATTTGAGGGGAAGAGAATAGAAAGAATTTGATGTCATTCCCAACGAGCGTTGGCTCTACTGGTAGATAAATTGAATGGTGTACACGAAAGATTTTGTATACCCTTCCTGTGAATAGATGTTTATTGATAGGTTATATGTAAGTATTACTCTAAGAAAAAGATTTCTTGCATCCTCTGGCCTTAAATCAGGGCAACTTCCCCTTTTCCTAAACCTTTTATCTCCCAAAAAAAAAATGAAAGAAGAAGAAGAATAAAGAAAGAAAGAAAGCAATGTATGTACTACTCAACATATACATGTATTTGTTGTTTCTTATTTGCCCAATAATACCAAGCATGGCAACCTTCAACCGCTATCTTCTCCAAGACCTTGATGAATGCTGTAATTGGGGTAAAGGCCCATTGCAATCACGTATTTTTGGACTCAAGTAGTGTTGATTTATTTTATTTTTGTCTTCCATCTAGTCAAATGCAAGTCATTCGTGTTGGAGCTAAGAGGGCATTTGGTAGAGGAGAAAATTTTTTTACTAGGAAAATACAACTACTAGGCATAGGTTAGAAAGTGATTTTGGTAGAAAAATCAAAAAATTATTGTGTGGTAGGTAAAAATATTACCAGAAAAATTGGGTTAAATTTTCTGAGCTTATGTTTAGTTGAAGGTAAAAAATTGATGGGAAATGGATTGAAATGACTGAAATAATCTTGTAAAATATTTGAAAGTTGTTATTGTTGTTTGCATACAAATAACCTTGTAAAAACATCAGCCTTAAGCTGTACATTTTTTAATTTAAAGTAATAAAACAATTACCGAACCATGTATAACTTCATACTTTACATAATAATATCTGCTTGAGTGCAATTTTTTTTACGAAAATAAAAATCTTAACAAGTAAACTGCTTGACTGCAATTAGAGGAGACGTACGACTTATGAGGAAAGAGAGTTGAAACCAGGGACAATTTCGTCAGCAAATTCGTTCAATTTTTTCTTTCCCCAACAAAAACCCAAAATACCACTGTGAATATGGTTTTCTGGAATAGTGCTTCCAAAGAAATTTTGCACACAAAATGCGTTGGCTGGGCAAATGAGTCTCCTACCTAAATTTTGTTAACTCTTCTACCAAACATAGTCAAGATCAAAATCCATTTCAAGTTGTCTAGACATCCCTCCCAAAAACCTCTACCAAACACCCCCTAATAGATTAATTAGAAATGCCTTGCAACCTGGCCCTAAGCACTTGGCAATGGCATAACTAAGATTCTAACCTACGATTATGTCTACCCATAAATCACGTGTTCATTTATCACTAAACGAACTTCTTGGAGTTCTTCATATACAAATTACTATAAGGGGGCGTTTGGTCGAGGAGAAATTTTTATGAATCATAGGGAAATGTGATTAGTAGGGAAATGAGTTTGGTAAGAAAATGTAAAAAAAGTTGTTTGGTAGGGAAAAATTTTACTGGAAATTTAGGTAACTTTTGTAAAATCTATGTTTGGCTTTTGGTAAAATATAGATGGGAAAAAAATGTGATATTACAAAAATATCCTTGTTTTTAAAAAATGTTGATAAGCCTTGCTGCCCTTTACCCATAAAAAAAGTCTTTTCCTTATTACACCGTATACCCAAATGCATAGTTAACTGAGAAAACCACATCAGAAAAGGGTTTCTTTGGCATGCTTTCTTGCTTCAAAATGCTAGATAAGGTGGTTTGCTAGCAAAGGAATTTAGGTACCTAAATTAAGAACCTCTCTCAACCAAACATGGACATCTAATTTTCCCACTTCACATTTGTCTATCAATCTCCTCAAAAACCTCCAACCAAACACATCTAAAAGGAAAAAAAAATCCTTCCACAAATCAATATTAGCATTCGGGATTATTATATATTTTTCCTTTGAAACTTAATATTTGTATAATTTATACCTTCAAAGTTGGTACAATTAACTCCATTCCAACAAGCTAAGACATACTATTGTATATTTAATTTATGTAAAAAATATATATATGAAAAGCATAAGACATGTTCAGCTAGATTAAAATTGAGATCGAATAAGAAATTGAAAGAGAGGTTATAATTATAATATTTTTTTTCCTTACAATTATTTTTGTTATTACTTGATCAAAATCAAATTAATGGGTATAAAATAGTATCAAATGAAAATAGTAGACTTGATTTTGATCCAACGATAATAAAAATAATTATAAGACGTTATAAAGAAAAAAGAAAGAAGAGAGATTATAAGTATAATTTACCTCAAATTAAAATAAAAAAGGACGGGGCACTTATTAAGCACTCTTTAGGAAAGGAGAAAGATTCAAAAACTAAAAACACCACTTGTGGGAATGGCTTAATGGTATTGCTCGATACATGAAGGAATTATTCTCACACCTTCCGTATCCAAAGGAATTAGTATCGTACACAAATATGCTAGTATGGTAGAAGGTTGCTATGGGACATAATAAAGCTCGCAAAACATGAAAACTAGAGAAAAGGGTCTTATTTGAGACTTGTAAGCTTGAAGAAGGAGGTGGTGTGGGCACTAGAAGCAAGATCTGTATTCTCTGGATCATACGAGAGACAAGATATTTTTAATTTGGCAAGGAATGTTGAGGTCATCATCACAAATTTCGTTAATTAATTTAACACTATTAAATTTATCAACTAAATTGATTTCTTTTTATAAATAAAAATATCAAAATTGCACAATTTAAAACAAAGGGATGAATTTGTTACCTTTTCCAAAACAAAGAGATGGAAATTACAATTAAGCCTGAAATTCATGACCAGAGAATAAATATGAGAGTAAAGCTATTAGCCCTCTAATGTACTTATTCACAATCTCCACTTTATTTTATTTTATTATACTTTCCAAACTTACCTTTGTAAATTGTTCATTATACTTAATTCAATTTTTTTATTTTTTTATCAGCGTGACTCTCTCAAAATCATTTTGTTTTAGAACTTGAACTTGAAATTTTTGATTAGGGGAGCAAGCTACTTACCATTTGTACCAATCTCCTATAAATCTTAATCTTACATATATCTATGGAAAAGATATTGCTAATTAAGGGTCACAGATCATTGTGCACAAAGAATGAACTTTGTAACCAGAGTGCGAGAAGTGTGCATAGTAACAACTAAGAGAGAGTAGAGCATAAAGTGTCTATCGGGTTAACTTAACTACTTATTTATAAATAATAAAAGTAGGATTCTAGGCAACTTGAAAATATTAGAGACTTAATATTCGATCTACTAGTGATATGATAAGATTGATATCTTTTCTGACAAAATAGTTTCCTTATCTCTCTTAGATGATTGTCCGTTTAGGGCTATTAAGATATGAGTTCATAAAATGGATCCATAACAATTTCTTTTACAAATCAATGCTAGAATTTAATAATCAAATTAGTTATATAATTAATTAAGATTTCGGTCTATACAGTTTTTACACATTTAAACTACAGTTTCAATAAATTTTTATATCAATTCTTATACTCTTTTTTTTTTTTCATTTATTTGAGTTTTAGGGCCTTTATTGAATAAAAAAATAAATCGTTTGAAAATGATTACTTTATAAAATTATTCCCAGAATAATTATTATTTTTTAGATTTTAAAATTAAAATAAGAGAACACACTAAAGATCACTGTTGTAAAACCCGGCCCGACCTGGCCGGGTCGACCCGGAACCCGGTGAACCGGTCATCAGATCGGTTCGGGTTAAGCATTGGACCGATCATGCATCGATTCGGTCAAACTCGGTCAAAATCTGGACAAATCCGGCCAAACCCAGTGACCCGGTCGGGTCATGCATTTAAAAAAAAAAAATCAAAACTGTTTCATCTTATAAAAAAATGTAAAACTCATTTTAAAAACATTTTATAATTTTATTTGATAGTATACTCTTCTACAATGACCTCTTAGTTTTCAATACTGAAGCAATTTGTGGAATAATAAATTAGAGAATGTGACATATGTTATTTTAATGTAGTTGAATTTGAAAAATATGAGTTCAATGTCATTGAGAGGTATGTTTATGGAAATTCTGAGTTACAATTTAAATTGACATAGTAATAGCATGCACTTTTATTTATTTATGCTTCATGTTTTTTAGCTTATTTAGTGAACCTTGTTTAATTCATTTTAGATATGGAGAATATAATTGAATTTATATATATTTTTATATATCTATATGGGATAGGATCAACTTACACCGGTGTAAGAATATTAAATCTTACACCAAATCTTAACCGTTGATTTTCGTGTATCCAACAGTTGGAATTTATTGGGAATTTAAAATTAATTAATGAGTGCGACCTAATAAATATTAACCGTTAGGGGAAGAAAATCAATGGTTAAAATTTGGTGTAAGACTTATTATTCTTACACCGATGTAAGATAATCCTGTCCCTATCTATATATATTCAGGTCAACCGGTCTGACCAGTGACCCACCGGTATGACCAATTATCCAGTACCCCGACCGAGTCGATGCCCAGGTCGGGTTTAACAACACTGCTAAAGATGTTCTTAATTTTTTTTTTACCAAAAAATACTTTTTTATTTTATT